ATGCTCCACTTCATCTGCCAGTGAATTCAACGATCTTATCAGATCTCCAGCCGCCATGTTTCAAACGATCCAAACGTAACACGCTTCCGCCAATCCCTGCCTTGAAGCAATGATTGACGGAGGGTGGGCGTGGTCAGCTCGGAATGCATTTCAAATTGGATTTTGCTACAAATATCCCAAGTTGCATTGGGAATCTTTTTTTTTTTTTTAAATAAAGCCAAGGTAACACTCATTTTACATACAGCACACAAAGAAAATGACATGAATATGACAGTGGACAAATGCATAAAGTGCAGCATATTTTGAAATCACTAATTTAAAGTTTGTCGATCGTGTGTCTCCAGTCAAGCAGAACTCTCCTGTCAGCATTTAATTCGCACGGACCGACAATCACGCAGAGAACACGCGATCATGCAGGATACAAATGCACACTTCACAAGATCTGAACTAGATTCGACTAAGTCTGCAAGGTTTGTGAAATTAAATGTTTATTTAATATTAAAGCAATCGTTATAATACTTTTTTGTATACAATTTAATACACTTGTTTAACAGTTCTATCTGATTATTAGATAGACTTCTATCCATATTAAACAGAACTGAACGACTACAGCGAACAAGAGGAAGAATGTGAGCCATGTGCGCTCATGCGCTACCGTTCTCAGCGCCGTCAAAATAAAAGTCCCGCCTCGAACACATCGGCCAAACAGAAAAACTTATCGGCCGATGCTGATATTTAAAAAAAAAAAATCCAAATATCGGCCGATATATCGGCCTTGGCGATATATCGGTCGACCACTAAAAAAGATCCCCAACCACCCCTGTTTTTTTTTCCAAGCAGCACAACCACCATCATCATTCTTTCCTCTCACACATGTTTTTCCAGTTTCACATACACAAACCTCTTTAATACTCATTGGGGGAACTCTTCAGTTTATAACCATGAGCTTTCCCTAAAAATAAAAGGATAATTTCAGGAAAAATATACCAAGAAGATTGTTTAAGGGAGCTTTAAAAACACAAAGTTCAATACTGTACAGTATGTATTAACGTCAGCCGAAATCTAGGACAGAATTGTTTTAACCAATGTCAAAATTGCATTTGCCAAAAGGTGCTGCTCCCTGCACACAGAAAACTGAAGATCCAGCCAAGTCCATGTTTACTGGATTAAGATCTTTGAAAATAATTTTATAGAGACTAGTATTTCTTACTATTTAAGTTGTAAAATAACATTAAAAAAAACAGAGACATGTCTGAGCAAAAGAAGATTGGAATCTAAGCTAATGATATGGAAAGAGGACAACGGCATGCAAAGATGTTGCCAGGCCTAGAGGTATCTCATTTTAAATATCCATCCAATTTACAAACCGTTTGTCCTATGTAGGTCGGGGGATGCTGGAGCTTAACCCAGAGTATTAGTTTTTAGGCAAGGAATCATTATCGACAGATGGCCAGATTTTAAATACATTAATTTCAATATATAAATGTAGAATTCATACTCCTAGAGACTGCAGCTGTCTACAGTCTAAACCAGGGATCCTCAAATCTGGCCCACGAGATCCACTTTCCTGCAGAGTTTAGCTCTAGCATGCTAATCAATGTCTTCAGGATCATTAGAAAATCACAGGTAGCTGAGTTTGATCAGGGTTGGAGCTAAACTGGACCTCCAGGGCAAGATTTGAGGAACCTTGGTCTAGAGTTGTAACATACCAAGACTGTGACTCAACATTTGTCAATACCCACACTGCTTTACACAACCTGGAAAACATTATGTAGCTGTCCTTAAGGGGAAACTTTCCAGTTTGTGTGAGGAAAATGTTCTCATTTTCACAAACTATTTGATTCTCATTTTCATAAACTATTTGGACCTGTGCAGAAAGCCAAACCTCATTGCTCTGTTAATCACATAAATATGCAAGCTCCTATGAACAGCCATTTGTTTTGAATAATCAATTCACTTGCGTAGCATATACATGGCAAGATATTTCTTTCTTGCTTGCTTGTTTGGCTTCCACAGTGGGACAATCGACCCAGAGATGACAGAGGTAAAGTTCTTCATTTTGTAGTTCAAATTAGGGCTCTTGACACAGATGGTGAGCTCACACTCAGTCATTTACTGGGTCACTAGGTTATAATCACAACTGTTTAGTTGTAAACAAAGTATCTTTAAATCTATGTTCTGCTCATTTAGCCAAATGTACGTGACTTATTCCCCTGGAATCATTCAGACAAACTAGTAGGCAATTGAATGACAATGGGGCTTTGAGAATCAAGCTGGAGGGAAAAGGAGCACGACTAAAACAGAATTAACAAACAATGTTTAAAAGTTGCTTAGTCTGTCAGTTTAGCCTGCATACTACTATTTATGAAGGTCTTTATATTCAATTCGTTCTTAAATTAATTAAAATCTCCATTTCTCAACCAATATTTTATAGTCCGTAACTTCAGTGCAAAGGTAAACAAAATCACAGCTGAACGGTCGAGAAAGTTTCAATTCTGTACTCTACAAAAATAACCCTGCGCTGTTCAATCCAGTGAAGATTACAGTTTCATAAAGAATGAGAATATACAGATGTCTTGCCCTCAGTGAAATCACCCAGAGTCTGATAAATGATGCACAACTCAACAAAAAGAATAATTAATTTGTTCATTGCACTGGACGTCAGGCGGAAATATTAATGTTAAAAGCAGATTTTTACTTAAGATATATTCTGCTATTTCCGAAGTAATCGTTCGGATAACTAATTCCTGGCAGAATTTAGTCCCAAGCAGTGAATCCCACGCAGCCTTCAAACGACTGGCGTCTTGTATCTCAGAACAAAAGTTCTTCATTGCACTATCGGACTTGAAAGTCTTGGTGGCACTGCTGTTCCATGATCGTTGTTCTTGAAACTCTGGTCAAACAAATAAGGTCTAATGATTAGTATTCCATAATAGCAAAAGGAATTAGAAAATATCGAATAATTAAAGATCAAAAAATATATCGGTTGGTAAGACAAAGAAATTAGTTTAGATTTATAGGGTAAGATTTGAATACATTTCAAACATCCTCAAGCATCTTCAATCCTGCAAGATTGAAGATGTTTTGAAACAATGATTCATTCAATACTAATAATCACGCATTTGATAAATTCTGAATGAATGAATATAAATCCCGCCTCTTCATGCGCGTTCCGCTACTTTACAGAATCAAATCACTGTGAAATCTTTATATTTTATCATGCATAATGTAATACATTATATATATTACATAGCTAAAAAAATATTTTTCTTCAAACGTAATTTTATTGAACTTTGTGTGCAAAGCAGAGAAAAATTGAATTGTGTATATACTGTATATATATATATATATATATCTTCCAAATATTGGATAAGAAAAAATTAGTAGTACAAAAATAAAACAATGCCAATATTACAAAATATAACATTAAAAAGTGTATAAAATCACTCGTTTTTCTAAAGAAACATTGTCCAACAGCGACACCAGCAGGTAAAGTTACAGCGGGAGTCCGAGTCTCTCTCACCTCCTCTGAGCCCATTGAGTTTTAACAGACCAACTAAAGCGTGCAGTGGGGGGGTAACAGAATGAATGGGGGAAAATCACGTGAGAGGAGGCAATGCCTCCATCACGATATGATTGGATATGACTGGCTATGTTCGGCTGTGATTGGTTCATGCGATAAATCCCGCCTATTGTGTTCATGTGCGTTCTACGTTTGCGAATCAGTCTGAATGAACAATATGGCATTAATGGGAAGACTCATTTAAAAAAGTAAGTAAACAACTCACACACTTAGATATTCACTTTGTTACATCAAAATAAGACTTAAAATGGCCTGAAAACATGATCTGTGGGAGTTTTTAGTGAGTAAATCAGCTTGTTGAATTGTGTCTGTGACCAATATGTACTGAGCTTTGATGACTGATGAACCGAATAATTCAAAAATAGTTAAAAGTTAAAAAAGAATAGCTGAACATAATAGTTCACAAATAAAATATATTGTTTAAATTGTTACTGCCTTGAGTTATTATTTTGGAATTTTTAATTTTTTTTGGTAGTGTGAGTAATCTTTATTTAACCAAAAGGACAGGAATTTACATTTGATTAAAAAAAAAAAAAAAAAAAGGACTTTGCCTATTTTGAGAACACACACACATATATTCTATTATAAATAATGTGAGTAGTGTGTTCACACTGAAAACTGCAATCAAAAGTGCATTTCGTGTACCTGCATGACGAACCTATTAAACCAAAAAAACACAAACAGCGTGGAATGCTGAAACGTAGCGGAAGGGGTGGGTTTTACTTTACGTTACCCGGCTCGAGTCGCGGACGGAATGGTAGATGATGGCGCTTTCTTACAGAAAACACCTACAAATGTGAGTTCAGTGCTCACGTCGTCATTCGTTGTGTGAAATGTGTCCCTGTTTGTAAAGTCTCATGTTATATATTTTTGTATGAAGTAGAATTCTTCTGTTAAGTGTGAGTAGTGTTCCATTCGTACACTAGACGGTGTTTAGTGCATGATTAGTCACTGGTCGCCGCCTACTGGCGTAACTATGTAACCTATAAAAAAATCAGTCTGTCAATAAAATTCAAGGACTTTAAATAACTGTTGTACAAAGTATTAAAGACTTCCCTGCTATGCAGCAGTAGGGATGGGCGTATCTCCAAAGTATCGATATATCGATATTGACGCGAGTATCGAAAGTATCGATACTCAAACATGATACTGCCTTGAAAAATATCGGTATCGTATCGAAAACAAAATAAGTGGTATCACCCATCCCTATGCAGCAGATAATTACTTTGCCAGATCAGACATTTTGAGTGGAAAATTTACCATGCGCAATTGCAAGCAGATGAATTTAGTTTGTTTTTAGTGTGAACACAATATTGTCATGTAAACACTTCTTGTTGCTGTTCCTCCCTGCAATTACATTTCATAGCATTGCATTTTCGTTGCAGGTATGCTTCATTGCTGTACAATGTGACAAATGTTCTAGGTAGCACAACGAAAATAAAAAAGTAAACTTTCGTTTGTTGGTAGTGCAATGAAATAATTAGCTGAACTTAAAGTTCTTATCTTAACCTTTGGTCTTTAGATTAACATTGCATTTGTGTTTATAATATGCACTTCAATGTCCTTAACATTGTATTTTTGTTTATAATATGCTCTTAAATGTGTCCTGTACTGCTTGACTTAAGCATTGTTTATCTTTTATTTTGTAAATGAAGGCTGGATTAGTTAATACATTTATAAAAAAAAGTGTACTGGCATTTTATAAGGCACTAAATAGTATGAACTAAATAGTATGTCTCTGTCACTTTAATACACGAATTACTCCCGATCCGCCTCTTCCATCTAAGGGCACATTTACTTTTCTCGGCCGAGAATAAGTCTTCCTGGTTTCATGATATAGTAGTCTGCCTTCCCCTTTAAATGGATTTTGGACCAATGCAAAAATTGTCATCATAGGATCAAAAGAACTAACACGATTTCTCGAGGTAGATTCAGTTAGGAGGGAATCCTTTTAATTTCGCTACGTTTCAGCGCATCAGGTAAGCGAACTCTCCATGTTTAGTCCGCCCTCCTTTGCTTTTCTTAAGGAACTGGAAATGACAATGCTCGAGTCTGTTGGTCAAAACAGCTGTGTTGGAGCTACATAAGCATAAAGCATCAGCCTACAGACATAATAGCAGGATATTAGGTATGTGGCATACTTTATCGCGACGTTTTTCCAGACAACTATGAAACTGTAAGATCTAACATGCATAGATTCCAAGTCTGTCTTGTAAAACCGCAAATGCTTGAGCTGCGAAATTGTAGACCGTTTCAACATGACGCGCTAAAGCCTCATCTACATATTCAACACGTCGAGCACATATTTTGATATCTGATGACATTTCAGAGAATATGGGATCGGTTACGCGTTTTATTATGGATATGGCGAAGAAATACACGGCATGTCTCTCTCCATCTTAGACCGCAGGACCATTTGGTTGTTTAATTTCGTTTATCTGTTACGTGATTTGTGTTGAGAATTAATAGCACGTTACACTAATACGATACACTGGCGTTCCTTGACTTTTAAGACATTAAAAGCACAAATTCAATTAGGTTCTTTTGTTTTGACACGTTTTAGATACTTGATACACTATTCAATTTATTATTATTATTATTATTATTATTATTTATTTATATATATATATAAATTATATCAGATTAAAATTGAGATTTTGGTCCCGCTTAAAATGCCTTGACCTTTTGACCTTAGATCTGAAATAATCTAAAAATTAAAATCATACTACAGTGTCATAATTTTGACAGTCAGTTGCAATGACTTTTGAAATGGAGTTGATTTTTAAATTAAAATTAGTATTAAATTTAACCGTTTTTAATTATTAACATATTTAGCGGACTCCCACATTTTGTGTTCTACATTTTGTTGCGAGAAAAGAAAATGTAGTAAATTATTTTATTTTCAGAATTTGTACAGAAGTTGAAGTGTTAAATATAAGTTTCTTTCTACGGTGAAACCCTGTAGAAAATGAATGGAAAATAAAACTGCTCTTATAAAATTTTATTTGACCTCCTGAGGTTGATGATAAACACTCTCTGAAGGTTAATAATCTCCTTTCTCTTACTTTTTAAATTAAAATGACTTCATTTTTTAAAACGAGTTTCAGGGCCTGTTTTGTACCCTATTTTTGGAAAGGACATACAGGTGGCGAAATGTATGTGGATGTTATTAACAGATTCTGAGACTGCTCTGAAATAATTCAGTCTAGTGGCACTATAAACATCTTGATTTAGTATTGCATTTTCGGTTGTAGTACCGTTCATCAGTTTTGTGTATTTTTTATTTTTTTTTGTCCTACTCAACCCAGTAAACTTGCAAGCATTCTGTTGAGCTGCTCAGACTCATCTGCTGGTGTTAAAGCAGGATAACGGGCTGTGGAATGGCTTTGCTGACCTTGCACAGAACGCAGTCTATTTGCACAACACCGGTGAGTTTTATTTTGCCTAATGAAAATGTGCATTTCTAAAATGCTACAGAAGAAAATCTGCACTTTTTGTGTCAGTTGCAGTTCTCCACACATTCTTTCACCCTACTCCCACTCCCTCCGTGTGTGTCCAGTTACTCTACACCTTTTTCTGTACACACGTTTATGTATAATTTGGTAGTGCTCCAAATGCTTTCCAAATTTGCTGTGAATCTGAATATGAGAATTAATTTCATGCTGTTCCAAAAGAAAAAAAGCCCCAGAATTATGTGAGGATTCTGCTAAACAGCCAAAATGCCTGATAATTTTTATTGCTGGTCTTGAGCGGTATTGGACAATGTCAAGTTCTCTGTCTCTATTGTTTGTTTGGTAGGCTTTGTATTTATTATATAACACAAGATTCCCTTTTCACCCATAACCCATGCATACTGTGTATCTACTTCTATAAAACACTATGTTCAGACTATTTTGAGTAAAGTCTCACCGGAGCTTTAACCTAAAACCTCATTGCCCCTCCTCTCCACCCCCTCTCTTCTTTTTCTTCTTCTCTCTGTCTGGACACGTCAGTCACATAACAGGTAATGTTACTGTCTCCTCTTTCATTCCATAGAAGCACTGATAGCAGCCTCTTTGGTGTCCTTCTCTCTGTCTTGCTCTCTCACTCTATTTGTTTCTCTCTGTTTATCGTCTTTAGTATGAGCTTCCTCAGTGTCTTATCATACTGTCACTGCATTACAGTTGGCAATTTTGTCCAAACGCCTAGTCATTGTGTTTACAGGTTTCGTTAAAATTATTATTTTTTTTATCCAGTCACTCATCTCAGAGTGAGTTATGGGTGAGAAAAAAGGCTAAAAAGCCCTTCCCAGGTGCAAGTTTTTATTCAGCTGTTTTGGCAAATAGCACTTACTGAGTCAGATGATCCAGAGGAGTCAAGCAGAATCTACCGGTGTCTGTTTGCAATTAAGTGCATCACATAATCAATTCACCCACCACCCATTTTTAACATCACCATTCTCTGGGCAGATCTTAGGGTTATATTGTCCTGTAACTTCTAATTCAATAAATTGTAATCAGCTTAAATTTATTTTCAAGGATGAGCCTATCCCAAGAAGAGGAAGACTTCAGAAAAGGTGAGTGATTGTGATACAGTTTTAATCGTGTGTGTATTTTAGTGTATATAGTGTTTCCTCCAGAAATGCGTAACTGATTAATTATTTATTTCTGCACCCCAGAGAAAGTTTCGCCCTGGTTAAGGGGGCAGTGCTCCTGGTGGAAGAGGGAGAGAGGGAGGGATTACATGAAGAAACCGTACCCTCTCTGCTAGGTCCTAGGCAAGGAGACCGAGCCTCTGACACTCAACGCAGACATTTGCATGCAATGATTTCGTTACTACGACCGGAGGACACAGTCAAATTGGTTAGGATTTCCTCAACCCACTCTTGTTTAACTACACTGCCTTTCTATGCTCAGGGTCGCCATGGTCATGGTAACTCCAAATTAAACAAAGCCTCTACTAAATAAATGTTGTAATCACAAATGACCGGAAAAATAATAGGTGTGAAAATACCTCATGCATTTGCACTATTTATTGTCCGTGTGAGATTTATGGAAGTGTTTGTACTTGCTGCCTGTGTATATTGGAGGCAATGTTTTGCATATGTAACATCACATGTTCTGCAATGTGGTTTCTGGAGACACTTTAGTTTGTTCCATCTTCTGCTATGCAGAAATGACAATAGCTTTGCTTTGTCTTTAAGAATACAGTTACACACAATACAATTTACTAGGTAAATTGTGTATTAAAAAACAGCATGCATGGGTGCTGTGCTTGAATTATAATAATGGAAAAGATCTCATTTTAATTGCTCAGTAATTTTAAATTATCCTAATGAATCCAGCTCAGACTTCTGTGTCTGATTCATTAGCAATGGACCTGAATTTCTCTTTCTCCCTCTCTCAGGCTGTGCGTTTGGAGTCGGTGAGCCCAGTCAGAGTGAGGTATTTGCTTATAGTTGGCACACTAATCAAAAAACAGGAGAGTCTACTTCTTGGCATAGACTTCCCAGGCTTAAACAGGTAGCACATCTTTATAAACTAAATTATTAAGTCATCATAAGCAGATTTTATTTCATTAGAGAAAAATTCCGAAATATTCAATTGTATGCGTGACATACCTGTTTGTATATCTATTGTCTTACAGCCTAAATACTGTTGCATTTTTGATAACATCTGTTCACAACACACAACTGAATCAAGGAGACTATTTATTTTTAACATTCTACTTTTTTTGGAAATGGAATGTGCAGATATTTTGCAAACTTGGTGTCCTTGTTTAGTAGCAGGGATAATTCACCCAAAAAGGAAATTTGTTATCATTTACTTACCCTCATGTCACTCCAAACCTGTATTACTTTATTTCTTCTGTAAAACATAAAAAGTTATTTTGAATAATGTTGGTAACTGTTGAGTTTTTGTATATGGACAAAAAATGCAGAGACATTTTTCAAAATATATTTTGCACATATGAAAAATATACATTTTATGTTTTTTTTTTTTATTTTGGGTGAATGTCTTTAAATATAAACATTTAGCAGATTTTTATTTAAAATGTCATTATATTTCAGCCTGTCATGAAATGTCTTTTTTTTTACTCTTCCTCAGTGATGAGTGCACTATTGGACTTGTCTTGCCAATATGGAGTGACACACAGGTTTACCTAGATGGAGATGGGTAAGAACATAAAACTGATTCATTCTGACCAGAAATCAATTAATAAAGTGCAAATATATGATAATAATAGCAGGGAAAGCAAAAAAATGCAAAAGTGTGTGTTTAATTTTAGTACTATAAAAGAGCAATCTTGATATCATTATCTTGTCATTAAAGTCAAATTTCACATACGCTTTTAATGTGGTTTGAGCTTTTAAATTGAAGGGAGCTCAAGTACAAAGTCTTTGCTTCTTTAGAAAATTAGGAAACAAGTCAACACTAAACTAAATATAACTGAACTTGATATGAAATTAAAAAATGTAAACATTTAAAATAAAATAGAACTGTGCTCCGTTTGAATGGGAAAACCTTCCACTTTATAATTTATCTTAGTACACTGTTAAAGCCTCAGCCCCAGACTTCTGCTTTTCTGACAGTTTGTTGCACTTGTTCTTTTACAGAGGTTTCAGTGTGACATCTGCAGAAGTGACACGAATCTTCAAGCCTGTGTCCATTCAGACGATGTGGTAAGATTTAAAGCAGGAAATGCTGAGGAAACAACTAGTTTCCTCAACCATCAACGACATACAGTGTGACTTTGGTCTTGCAGCCAGCACACACTTAACTGCACACAGTTATAATGCTATTTGTTTTATTATTCTGATATTGCCTATAACTGTCTTTCTTCTGGTCCTTAGTCAGTCATCACATGTACCCTGTTAGACCTCTGCATAAAGCCTCTAAATTAGCTCTGTAACTTGTAAATGTGTTTGTGGTTTGTTGATTGCTTGTTCACAGCACTCTCTTGTCACTCTTACTTTGCTCAAGGTCAGTATTGCAGGCGCTGCATGGCTGCTGTGAACGGGCCGTACGTGGGGCTGTCATACCTGGCTGCGGACTGGAGTGGGCACAGCATTACAGAGAGAACGTGGAATCCGACCAGCACTGCCTTAATGAATGGGCGGCCATGACTGGCCTGGAGTCAGTCAGGAAGGACACTGGAGGGCGATCGTCGTCGAATCGGGAGTCAGTGGAGAGGGAGATCAAAGCCCAGCTACGAGATATCATGAGGACTGAGGACTTGGAAAACATTACCTCTAAGCAGGTAAAATGAAAGAGAGTAAGGCTTTACTCTGCTTTTCAAACAATGTCCCACAACGTCACCAAGCTCTCCTCTCTAGTCACCTATAGACCACTTTTTATGATCCAATCAGTTCCTGATGGATAAAATCAAGTTCCACTCTATATTTATTGGGTGTAAATAGGTCATATAACAGAAGTCAAATGGTTGAAAACACAATTTCATGTTTACATCTGAACTGTAAAAATTGTTTTATGGACATTACAGACTAAAACACAATGCAATGGAGTGAAAAATACAGGTAAAACACCTGTTTTTTTTTTTGTTTGTTTTTTACAGTATGTTATGATTGGTTAACTTTTTGCATATGTATGCAACGTTTTTTTTTTTGTTTTTTTGTTTTTATGGTTGTGGGTTTGGTGTCCATCCTTCCATAACAGGCACTTTGCAAAGCCAGTATTGCATTACGACAGGTTGCAAAACATTTCACAATTTGCATGTTTTTGCAGCTTATTTTCAGAAAGTGGTCTGTGTGGACTGAATTTATTTAATTATGGCCCCTTTAAGGTTATTCAAAGTACTCTACAGTTCAAAACTTATGGGGTTGGTAAGATTTTTTTTTTTTAATCATTTTTGAAATAATTCTCTTATGGTAATGGCTGTATTTATTTAGAAAATACAGTAAAATATTAATATTGTGATATTGTTACCATTTTAAATAACTGCATTCTGTTTTAATATATTTTAAAATATAATTTTATTCCTGGCAAAGCTTAATTTTCAGTGGCCATTACTTCAATGTCACATGATCCTTCAGAAATCATTCTGATGTGCTGATTTGGTGCTCAAGATACATTTTTTCAGCATTCTAGCAAATTCTAAAGAACAGCATGTTTTGAAATAGAAAACATTAAAAATTGTATTATTATTATAAATGTCTTAACTGTCACTTTGATAAATGTAATGTGTCCCTGCTGAATAAAACTATTAATTTCTTTCAAACAAAACTTACTGACCCCAGTCATTTGAGCGGTAGCGCAAGCCTGAAGACACACCTTTTTAAGACTCTCTTCTTCTAGAACTTACTTAAGGTTAATGTGCCTGGGCTTGTTGTCTTATCCACAGAATCTTTGTGGTATAGACATGAGCAGCATTCAGGAAGTCGTTTAGTGAGAAGCTTGATTTGATGTTTGTAAGCATTTTATTTCATGTGACTTGCCATTTAATGTGATTTGTATCCCAAACCCATGATCTTGGAGTTTCTAGCACCATACAGTTGAGCTACAGTCACTCTTTCTGTGTGTTTTTAGGTGCGAACATCCCTGGAGTCCAAAATAGGCATAGACATGAAAGACTACAAGGAGTATATTGACAATGAGATGATGGTCACAATGGCACAGATGGACAAACCTTCCAGAATCTTGGACTACCTTTACTTGGTTACTGTTGACATTTGTCTTCTGCCTTGTCTGCTATACTGTTGGAAAATACACAGTCATTTATTTGTCCTCTTTTCCCCCAAAGGGTTCCGAATGGAATGCTGCCAACTTTGAAGAACTACAGAAGAACAAGTATACAGGATTAATTAGGATTAAAATAATTTAAGATAATTTAATGCTTTATTATTTTTAATTAATGATCAAATTAATATATTTTAAATAATTGACATAATTGAGTTATCCTTTTAAATTAACATTTTCTGCAGCAGATGAATAGAAAGAACAATTATTTTTATGATTTTTGTTTTTGGTAGTGTGGGCTACATCCTGAATGTTACCATGGAGATTGACAACTTCTTTCCAGAATCTTTCACCTATATGAATATCCGAGTTTACGATGTGGAGGCGACCGACCTACTCTCACACTGGAACAACACATACATGTTCATCAGTGAAGCAAGGTGTTCAACACACACACACACTCCTCTTCCTCATTTTGGTTTATGGATGACATGCATTTAGTTTTTGTGCTTGCAGTCTGTCTACCCTGACTGTTAAATGCATTGGTTTATATTAAGGTACACATGCAGTATGGAATACCTAACCCCCTGTGAAATATATTAGCGTATGTCTTTGTGCTCTGTCTCATTCTAATATATTATGTCATTGTTTTGTACTGATGATAATACAGGAAGAGTGGACAGGCCATACTGGTCCATTGTAAGATGGGCGTCTCTCGCTCTGCCTCCACAGTAATTGCTTACCTGATGAAGCAGCAGGGCTGGACATTAGACCAAGCCCTCAACCACATGAGAGAAAGACGGCCTATAGTGCAGCCCAATGAAGGTTTCCTCAAACAGCTGCATACATACAGCGGTATCCTCAATGCCAGGTGACTTGCACTCTCATAATGGTGCTGTACCGAGATCGGTCATCATACTTGAACAAACAAGCATTCACACAGGAATACTGACATTTTCCCACTTGTTTAGTATCTCAATAGATGTTCAGGTACAAACAAGTCAAGTCAAGTCTGGTTTATTGTTCAATCGTGTTGACTGAATAGTGCAGATACACAAACTCATCTCAAACAGTCACAGCTATGTAAGTTTGGGATCTTGAAAGAAGTCTCATGCTCACCAAGGCTGCATTTATTTAATCAAAAATACAGTAAAAAAACAGTAATATTGTGAAATATTATTACAGTTTAAAAGAGCTGTTTTAATATATTTTGAAATGTAATTTACTTCTGTGATGGCAAAGCTTTTTAGCAGTCATTACTAAAGTCTTTATTGCCGCATGATCCTTTAGAAATCATTCTTGTATGCTATTTGCTGCTCGAGACATTTCTTATTATTGATGTTGAAAACTGACGATTAATATTTTGGGGGAGAAATTATCAAATTTTTTCATCAGGATACATTTTTTTGAAAGTTCAAAAGCAGCAATAAACAGCATTTATTTAAAGTAAATAATAAATCTTTTGTAAAATAAATGTTTTCACTGTGACTTATTCAGCAAGGTCGCACTGAATTAATCAAAAGTATTAATTTCTTTCAAAAGAAATCTCACTGACTCACTGAATTTCATTGAATGGCAGTGTATGTATTACACAGCTTTCTGAAATACTATATTCTGATTGATCAGCTGCAGCATAAACTGTTTACTATACATTTAAATTATAGACTTTCGATATATGTATAAAATACAGACACAAATTGGTATTTGCCGAGGCTTTATGCAGCATATTGTGTGCAGAAGACTGATTTGTCAAATGTATTGGAATTAATGTCAGCTGCAGTCTCTTTCTTGACTCATTTAGTTGGGATATCAAGACATTTTTACACAAAATTGGACAGAAAAGGCTAAATACTAAATGTGATAAATTGAAACCACTCACAGAATTAGGTATATATATATATATATACCCACTTATTACTGTACAAGAAAGTGATAAGGTTAGAGCACTCAGAGGCCAACAATTTAAATTCATTACATTTAACCATTGTAAAGGCCTTCCAGATGTTAATGTGGTTTTCTTTACTATTGCACAATCCTGCATCATATCTGCTGAATGAAATCGAATACTTGTTTCTTAGTACTTCTGGGGTGCTGATTCCAAAAATAGTGCATGTTTTTCTCTAGCACATCACACTTTCTCACAGTATATCGTGCATTTCATTGCATTTTTGCTTTTGACACCCAATTTTAAGGTGAAGAGGTCTTGAATTATCCCTTAATCACCAGAAAAACTGCCACAAGGTCATGATTCATCTTTTTCTGAGCCAACTATTTGTTCAGTTCTTAGCTGATTTCCATATGTATGAATTATTCTGAAGGTATGAATTATTTTATACCTAATCCTGATTTCACGGTTAGAAATTATGGCCAGTGGCAGAAGAAAATGCTAACGTGACCCCAGATGTTTTGTTTGTATCTATAAAAGGAGAGAGGAAGGGAGAGAGAGATCTTGTTTTGTGATTAAAAACTGTACATAATGGAAGGTTTTTATTGATTTTTTTTTTAACTCCGCATAATCAAATTTGGTAATATTAGGTCATTTTTGAAAAATAGCTGAATTTCTGTTTTTCAGGATGCAGGGGTTTGTTTTAAAGGGGTCATATGACGTTGCTAAAAAGAACATCATCAGTGGCAAATTCTTTAAATATGAAAACGTACTTACAGGCTGTGAGTCAGAAGCGCCAGACTGTCCTTGCAAAGTTGGAATTGCCCCACTTTATAGAAACAGACACCGGCATTGTAGGCTACTCTCCCAGGAAACAGTCCTCGTCCTCCGTAAAATGCGTTTCTCACATCTGATTATTTGGGTTGAAATGTTCTGGAACAGTGTTGTAAATACAACTTATCCACTGATTTCTAGTCGTGTCCTCTTTTGGAAGGCCAAACAAAGTAGTTTTGCTTTCACGACGAAACACACAGCTTCTCCATGACATGGCGGTGGCGGCAGCAACAATACTACAGCGAGAATCAAAGTTACGCATTCTTTCTTTGCGTGAACATTTGGGCGGCATTATGCAACTTTCCCCACATCGTGACGTAGACATGTGGGGGCGTGTTATAATGAGCCATTTTAGGTAGGTGTGGTTGACTTAACTTTTATAAAGAGTATCTCTTTGGATTTGAGACTTTAGTCTTTGCAACTTTACTGATCTTCTTTATGCACCAAGAGCTTGTAACACTCCAAAGAGAAAGGAAAAATTTAAATCGCATCATATGACCCCTTTAAATAGTGGGTTGGGTGCACTGAAATGAAGTACTTTTTTTTTTTTTATGTTTGCAACACTTTATCCTAGGTGTCGTCTAGCCCCAGCAGAAGTGGCAGGATGGATTTGTTCTCTCTAATGCAGTCTATTCAGCTTGACGATGAGGACAGAGGGATCGATAAAGAGGTGAGGAAAAGAAAGTCTTTGTTCAAAAGCGAAACTGATTAATAAAGATATTTGGAAAAAAAAAAAAATCAAAGCACATAAAAACAAGCATTAACTGAAGAACTCCTGTTGTTTAGATCACTGTCAGTCAGAGACTTTCTCCTGCTCAACGAAGGCGGAGTCATGGAAGAAGAGGCTTGGCTCATCAGAGAGTGCATGTTGATGTTTCTCCTGAACCAAGCAGCAGGCAGTCACAGAACACCAGCCAGGATGAAGCTGGTATCTGAAGCACTTTAAAAAAGGGCCGTGGTAAGAAATATGGAGAGAGAGGAATAAAAACGTAGAAAGGTGAGGAAAAAGAACACATAGTGATGTTAATATAAAGGAAACTCTTGCACAAGTCTTATCCTCCTGATTGTATCATTTCAAGTTCTTTGACAAGTCATTGCACAATAAAATTAGGGAATTTATTCATATAGATGCTGTATTAAGGCTCATTTAGGTCATTTTACTATATTCAATATTCAACACATGAAAGCACATGGTTGCATATCAATGGATGTCTCACAAATTTTTCCCTCACCTGTCCATCTAGCCCAAAACTCATAAACTGTGGTCAGTTTTAGGTGGATTGTTGAAAAAAATCTATAATGGCCAGTTTCTTTCAGCCACCCCTTGTCAAGTGAGTATTGTTAAAGGAACCATTTTCCTCAGAGCATTATCATTCAAAATGTCACATTGTGCCTTTTGAAATCTCTGTATCCTTTGCATCTTCATACTGAGCCATAAAATTCAGTTTACTTCACAGATTTTAATATGGTATTAGAGTGGAGTATTTCTCTATGGCTGTTATCTCTCATGTCATTATACAGAAACATGAACTATTTCTCTCTATAGCATTGTTTCATGTTGTTTTTAATAAATGAACAAGAGTGTGGTTCACACATTTTAGGAGTCCTATGCAATAATCTACTTTATAGCTGTTTCTTCTCCATGAATGTGAAGCTTTATGCTGCCTCTGTGGAGTGAAAAGGTGTAGAGGAAGCAATCAAAGATTTAAACTTTTTATTTCATGTACACTACCATTCAAAACTTTGGGGTTATTAAGAAATCAGTGCTTTTTATTCAACAAGGATGCATTAAATTGATCGAAAGTGACATTTATAACATTAAAAAAGTTTCTGTTTTAATTAAGTGCTGTTTTTTTTCTATAAGAAAATGTATCACTGTTACCCTGAAAATGTCAGCACAGCTGTTTTCGACATTGATGATAATAAGAAATGTTTTTGAGCACCAAATCTGCATATTACAAATTCTAAAGGATCATGTGACATTAAAGACTGGTTCAATGGCTGCTGAAAATGTAGCTTTGGCATTACAGAAGTAAATGACTTTTTAATATATAAATAAAAAAGTTATTATATGCAAAAATATTACTCACAATATTACTGTTTTACTGTGTTTTTATATCAGATAAATGCAGCCTTGGTGAGCATTCAAAAACAAAATCTTACTGACTCCAAACTTTTGAATGGTAGTGTAGTTTCTGGACAGTGATGTAGCTACTCATGCTATATCATATGTTTTTAACACTTGGAGCTATTTTCATGTCTTTTTAAATTAAGCAGATGTTGTTTAATATTTGTTTTTAACCTGTACAGTATGCAGGAAACAACCTGAGGAGTATTTTCCTAAAATAATGTGCCAGTTATTTAACCTTCTCTGCTGTTTCAATCATTCTGCATGATGGTTCAGTGCCTTTAGTGGATAGAGGTGAACCAAAATAACTACATTTGTTGTTTTTTATATTCGTGCAGTTAAAACTAACACCGCTAACTTCTACATATTACATGTGTCTTTAGCTATAGGGGTGGTTGATATGTGTCTTTGCATGATGTCTCAAGTATCAGACTGTATGCATGCTGTTTGTACTGTATGTAAGCCTGTCTTTGTGAAGCATGAGTCCTGTATGTATAAAGTATATACAATCTGCTGTAAAACATGTTGAAAAGTGTGTACTGTCATTGCACAAAGTGCCAATGTTGTGAAACCAAAGTTATGTTGTGGAATGTTCCTAGTATCGAGGCGCCACTGGTTTTGCAGTTCTTTTTCACATGAGAATGTTTTAAATTATGTGTGTTAGCGATAGATGATGACCTACAGCCTTCAAAGTGCTGATTTTCCTCACCTAGTATATAATGTGCCATGCCTTATCAACTTCAAAAACGGTGTTACATTTTATTCTGATGTAACTAGAATTTCCATTGTTGGTATCGGGTGGCGTTAAATATCAAGACAAGGTTGATGTTGCTTTTTCTATTTATGACTGATCTGAACATGTATCTTTTCAATTTGATATACAATGTCGTCTGTGCTATAAAAATTAAAATGAATTTATCAAGGTGGCTTGAGAAATATCTAACGGAAACTCTCATTGATTGTTTTTGTATCACTTTGAGTGTTTCATTGTTGTAAGATATTCCTATTCTTAATAACGCTACTGTAAAAGTGTGTGAAAATTCACATTAATATATATACTAGTGCTTTACATATATTACGGGAAATGTCTTTACTAAAATTCAAACTATAGCAACTAAGCTGTATAGAGCAATACTTGTAGTTATTTGGCCAGATAAACAGGTCATAAATTGTAGCTAAGCAATAATCTAGATGTGGGGACTGATTAAAAATCGTTCATCAATAATTAACTTTTTTTACAGAGTTGTAGTACACAATTTTTTGTAACCATATTTTAAAAGATGTATTTTAATAAAGCACCAAAGCAGGGCCACTAATAACATATACTACTGTTCAAATATTTTTGAAAGGAGTCTCTGCAGCTCACCAAGGCTGCATTTATTTGATGAGAAAAAGTAAAAACTGTATTGTGTAGTATTATCACAATTTAAAATAACTTTTCTATTTTAAAATATGTAAAAACAATTCATTCCTGTGATGCAAAGCTAAATTTTCAGTGACTATTACTCCAGTCGTCAGTGTCACATGAGCCTTCAGAAATCATTCTAAGATGCTACTTTGGTTCTCAAAAAACATTTATCAATTGTGAAAACAGCCCTGCTGCTTAATGTTTTTGTGGAAACCACAGGATTCATTGATGAATAAAAAGCTTTTTTTTTGTCCCATTACTAAAGTATTTATTCTCAGTTTTGATCAATTTAGATAAATTTAAAGCACCCTGCTGAAAAAACTATTAAAGAAAAAAAAATCTTACTGACCCCAAATGTTTGCACAGTAGTGTCATTTACAACGGTCTTAAGTGTTTTGTCATTTTTTATTGCCTGAAATGCATCAGGAAAAGCATTTTAAGAACCATATAATTACAAACTATTTTGAATCAAACTGAAAACCACTGAATCAATTCACTGTCAACCCAAAGATTTCTATCCCAATAATCAAACTGGTATAACGTGTTGAGGACCCCTATGTAATCGACTCAATGAATACACAGTTTGAATGTGAGAATATTTATATTTACATACAAAAGCCACATTTCAGAACAGTAATAATAATAAAAAAAAATTGATGCGGCAACTTAAATGAATTTTTGCCTTTGTTCACTAAGCATGACGTCGCCCTCTTTCATAGCCGTCCAGAATGTCTGATTCTGCAGAGGGGGGGGAAAATACACAAATTAGTCTATACATTTACATCATTAACTGGCCATTAATGTACAATACTTAAAGAATGGAAAAAAAACCTCACCGACTCCGAGCGAAACTTCCACGGTACCTCTCGATAAACGATCCGCGTGATCCCTGCCTCACGACACCGCTGAGCAAGCACCTCTCCTACGGCACGGCAAGCTGCTACAGACCGTGTGGAGCCCAGCTCACGCTTCAATGCCCACTCCTTCGTGGAGCAGGACAGCACTGGATCTATTGAGTCACTTGAGTACACCTCAGCTGTGATGTGATGCTGTGTGCGCCTGAACACCAACCTGAGGAAGGAACGGTATAGAACAAAATAGCATCAGTTCAATATTCATGTACAATGTACATTTGTGTTTGTATCTGGAAAAGGCTTTTAAGATGCTGTTATTACAGCTGTGCTCTGCAAAACTTTGTAGATGTTTTATTATTCACATCTAGTTCTAGTCCTCGGAATGCATACAAACCTTTGATAATATTGTTTAGAGGGCCACACTGTAGCCCAGCCCCGATCCTTCACTGCAAGGGCCATCTCTTCCAGGTTTCTTGGGTTTCGGTTAACGAATGTTTTATTGATGGCTTCATTATTACTAATCGCTGGTTCTGGCTCAGGTGCTGTCTGACTAGATTTCCGAGCTGGTGGGAAGATACACATCATAATCATTTTGTTTGAATTAAATTGAGAGATTTCAACCATGCCATGCTGTTGTATTTGCTCAAATTTGTGGAGAGAAAAAAAAAAAAGTTGTGAAAGCGCCGTTCAATGCCAAATAAATAAAATGATTAATTATAATAAATTATTTATTAAATGATTTATATTAAATTCTTAATCATTTCTATGTCAATCAAGGAAATGATAAAAATGACCACTGACACTCACTTGCACAAAAGGTCAAATTTCCATCTTTTAACTGAACGAATTGTTCATAAGTCATCCAGTTGATAAAATGGAGAAAAATAAGAACGTTTTCAATTATATGATCATCTGAGGTGAATTTGCGGAGGGAAGTTCTATCATGCCAAAATATAATAAAGTAAACTGCTGAAATAGTCTCAGTTCAGTATCGCTTAACGAATCAATCTTTTTGGTGAACGGACTCGAGATTTGAGTTACTGGGATGAATCAAAAATCCCCATCTGTCTTTAGGTTTACCAGTCATTCTTGAGAAATGGGACAAAACAGGGTGCAAAATTGAAAAAATAAAACCTTGTACTCAGATAAATGAAACTACATTTATGTATCTTATATGTACTAAGCTATGCTTTGATACAACCTCCCAACTTTTCTCTTTTTTAACAAAATGTGCTTTTTTACCTTGGACTGTGTGATATAATTTCAGCTTTATCTTTAACAGCATTCAAGATGTTTTTAACATTTCAAAACACATTATCGTGTTAGCAGACAGAATACACTTTCACATGTGACTAACAATTCCACAACAAATATAAAATATCATAATGAAATATTATCAAAATATTCAACTGACCGAGGTGACAGAATTGACGGACCTGACACATCTGACGGTCACGGTGGTGACGAAAACCTGAATTTGTAGTCATTTTAACTATCAAATACATTGAATCAGTCAATTACTGTATTAAAACAAACACAACAAACAGCGAGTATGTTATTGTTTATAAAGCTTTTATTCAAGAGTCACATTGAAGTATTTTGATATATCATTGGAACACAAAATCTTATGGTGGTGACATCTGACGGTGTTGACAAATTTGGCATTTCTTTCACAAAACCAATGGAGTTCATGTAGTAGCCATTTTATTTTTTTCTGTTGATGCTAGATGCTAATGGAACCTGCTTCAGGAGAATAAAATTATCTAAATATTTCAAATAATTTCCTCAGAAATTGGAAGATGGTGTTGACATATCATGGCTGTGACAAAGGAAATATTAACATTAGGATTTAA